TCTTACATGTAGTATGTGATGCCCCACCAGTCAAAATAGGGCAAACATTTTAAAACATTATTTAAAATGAACACAAAACCAAAAAGGAGCTTTTGTAGGAATGAAGATATTGATGGGACTTGTAGTAGATTATAGGATTTGTAATACTAATAGAGAGGAATATCTTTAATTTCCTTAACTGAACAACAAAAAAACTAGTAACTTTTGGAATTAAGATTGATTAGCAAGTCACCAAATATAAACAAAAACACTAGTAACTTTTGGGGTTAAGATTGATTAGCAAGTCACCAAATATACAACCCCCCCCAAAGCATTTAACCAGCTTAATTGTGCAGACATTGCTTTTAAGGTAAAATGAAAATAGATCTTTACTCACTGAAAATTTGCAAATTGCAGGCTTTAGCTTGATTCAACGGTTACAGTAAGATACACAGAAGTATGGGCTCTCAAAGATTAGCAAGAAGAATGAAGAAAAAGGTTAAAACAGTAAAACAAAACATGGGTTCTCTCAGGCAACATGGTTAAGAGAAAATATGGAGAACATGAGGAACTCAACTGAGCGTTGTTGTCCCCAAAACTTGTGGTTGCCTAAAACAAAGGCATTAAAGCAATTAAGGCTTAAAGACAGAGGGCGGGTTATCTTTGCCTACAGTGTACGTTAATTGATCAAGGAGGAGAGGGGGTCATGCAAACTACAGAGCATGTGAGTAAAGAAGCACTTCATTTCAGGTGATCATGTACTAATTTGCATGCTGATTTGCTAACAGACTCCCATAAATATGTACCAGATGTTATTGTCAAGCAATGAGGAATAGTGGCTATGGTAGAACAGGTAGAGTGGTGCCCCACTTGACGATTACCCCATTTGACAATGAAATCGCTTCACGATGAGGTTTTTGCGATTGCTATAGCGATTGCAAAATGATGATTCAATGGGGTTTTTCTCTTTTACAACGATCGGTTCCCTGATTTGGGAACCAGTTTTTAGCATTACGATGATTAAAAACAGCTGATCGTTGGGTTTTCAAAATGGCCGTCCGCTGTTTTCCAGACCTATTTCCGGAAGACAGCGATGCAAAATGGCTTCCCCTATGGAGGATCTTTGCTGGACGAGCAGGTATTTCCCCCATTGGAATGCATTGACCGGTTTTCAATGCATTTCAATGGGTTGTTTTTTTCACTTGATGATTTCGCTTAACAGTGATTTGCCTGGAATGCATTATCGTCGTCAAGCGGGGCACCATTAAATGATTCAGGGCAAATCCATAACAAATTAGATGGGTATGGGAAGTTGGAAGACAAGTACTGATAGTTTAACTGCCAATTATAGAGTTTAGACTTGTAGATAGAGACATTCGTCAGTGGAGGCACCACTGTAGATTTAAAAATCTGCTCAGCAACCTATCAGCACAACCAAAGAGTACACGTTCCATTTTGTCAATAAGACACTAATTTTTCTTACTCCAATTCATCCTGTCTTTCAAATCTCTGTTGCAGTGCTAAAAGAAAAAGCATAGAGATCTAGCCAATAAAAATACATCTACAGTGGTGCCTCCACTTACGAACGTCCCTACTTACGACCAATTCGACTTATGACTAGCTCCAGCCGCAAAATTTTGCTTCTTGCGACTGGAGCTTCCACTTATGAACAGAAAAAGGCAGAGGGAAAAGGTGAGAAATTCAAATTGCTAACTGTAGGTGGCAAAAGAGGCTGCTTCTTTGTAGCTCTTTCACCCAGGCAGTTAGTGTGTGTCCTAATCTGAATCTTGGGACTGCCTCCTTCTGCTTCGGAGTGACTGTGTGTGTGTGTGTGTGTGTGTGTGTGTGTGTGTGTGTGTGTGTGTGTGTGTGTGTGTGTGTGTGTGTGTGTGTGTGTGTGTTTGTGTGTTTGTGTGTTTGTGTGTTTGTTTGTTTGTTTGTTTGTTTGCAGGGAGGTAAGGTGCTGTTTTCTGCTTTTTAAAAACTTCTGGGTGTTTTTGCAGCATAGTTTTAGGCTGGGGCATTATGTTTCTGTGCTGTGATAGGTCTTGAGGGTTTGTTTGTTGGGTCCCCCCCAATTTCCAGTCTTGGAGGGTTTGGTTGCTTTTTGGTCCCCCCCCCCATTTCTGATGGGTCGTGCATGCTTCCCTTGCTTTTTCCTGTTTTCTGTGCATTTCTGACCTTGTCCCTCTGTTCTCTGTGCATTTCCAATCTGCTCCGTTTGTTTTCTGTGCCTTTGCAATGGGTCCTGCATACTTCCCTTGCTTTTTCCTTTGCATTTCCGACCATGTCCCTCTGTTCTCTGTATATTTCCAATCTGCTCCATTTGTTTTCTGTGCATTTCCAATGGGTCTGGCATGCTTGATTGCTTTTCTTTCCCCCTCCCTTCGGCCGGAAGGGATTAATCGCATTTCCAATGAGTTCTGCAGTGATTTGTCTGTCTGTCTGTCTGTCTGCCTGTCTGTCTGTCTGTCTGTCTGTCTGTCTGTGTCTGTGTGTGTCTGTGTGTGTCTGTGTGTGTTCTTTGGCTGGAACAGATTAATGGGGTTTCAGTGCATTCCTATGGGAAATGGTGCTTCGACTTACGACCATTTTGACTTACGTCCATCTTCTGAAATGGATTATGGCTGTAAGTGGAGGCACCACTGTAATCTGCATTTAACATTGAAGGCCTTTAGGCAAGATGGAGGGAGACTCTGGCAGTTGCTTTCAGAAGAGTAAGAGTTGCACTAATTCTTTTCTTACCTCAGATCATACAACTTACTCAACCAATAATTACAGCTTTTCCGCCATCACAATAAGAAGGGCTTCAAAAATATGGATAACGCTAAGCCAGTTTAAAATCTGTTTCCCTTTTAACATTTGTCCTTGTCTTCATCTTCCATAGCGTACTAAAGTGCAAAAACAATGGGGAGGAATGGTGAAATAGGGAAGGAGAGTGTGGCTCATGGTGCTGCTTTTCCAGCTTTGGATATTTGGAGGGTAGGATTTTCTTTGAGGCCGTTGTCCTTAACTAAAAGCTGCCGCCTTGGCTGGAAGGGCTACTACATGGAGGTTTATCCCACTCTTTAGCCCTCTGCTGGAACAACTGGGATTTCTCTTAAAAAATGTTGACTACACAGAGTGCTTAGAGCATTCCAACCCATCCCTAATGGGGACCAATCCATCCCAGACTGGTCTAGAGTTGGAGCCTACTGTTTTTTGGAATAATTAGGATTGGTTTAAACAAACACGGTGCCCTTTTTTATTTATTTGATTGCTTAAATCACTCCAGTGTGGGGTTGTGGGGGAGTGCTCTTCCTGTATGCCAGTGTAGAGGTAGATGTGGTCTGGCCGTGACTGCATATGGCACCCTCCATCCTGTTTTGAAGTGAAAAAAGGCATTTTTGTTTTAATTTTTAAAATTTTATGTAAAATATTTCCCACTATTGTCCTGCATTACTTAAGTACTATGCCACCTACCAGAACGAGGACTGAAACATGGCACTCCATATCCTCCCATTTTTGTGTGTGTAAAAACCCAGAATCAATGCGGAAGGGAGGGAGGGAGGGAGGGAGTCAGTCTGGGTCCCAACTGGCTGACTGCTGTTGCAAAAGAGAAGGCAGGAGGTGAGGAGCAAGAAGAGGCACATTGTGACAAAACAAAGAGATCACCAACATGTGGTTGACTAGATCATAACTGCAGGAGCTGTAGGAGTGATTTCCATGTGAATCACACGAGTAATCTAATCAAACTCCAGCATTCCAAACTTCCAAACCAACCCAGAATAGAATCCTCTCTGTTGCTAAGGTAGCCACACTCTGAGTTGGGCAGAAAGTGTCCTGCTGCTTTCTGTAGACATGCTTCTTTGGGGGTGGGGTGGGGGGGATGTGCATCTGTTTATTACGTACTGTGTTTTGAACTGCGTGGATCATTTCAACACCACATTATTTTTATGCATGAGCTGAACGCCCTTGTCTCTTCTTCAGATTCCTCTGTTTACAGAACTCCAGTTAACTAATCTATTTAGGATAAATTGATAATTTGGGGGTGGTGGTGGTGGTTAAGGTAATGCCTGATGCTGAAAATTATTCAAGCTACACTGGTTCCTTGTAATCATTGGTTCTATTTCCTGTCCTTGAATATCAGCCATTGTATTTCCTTTTGCAAACTAGTGGCATGACTTTGGTGTGTTAAAAATGTGAACATCAGCTTGTTAACTTGTGAAATTTGCTCCTAAGCGTTATGATGATGGATTTGTGGTGGTTCTAATTCTATAATAGGTCTCTTTTGGTGTATAATGGATTCTGGTCATTATCATTACTGTGTCACAATATAATTAATTCAGAAAGAAAAAATAGAACTTCATGCTATCATGAATGGACAATTCTCCATTAGTTATTTGGGACATAATTAAATAAAGAACAGATGAACTCCCTTCTTATCTTTATCATTATTGCGGTAATAGGCTATTTTAAATGTACATTCTTTCATTCATAATGTATTATTTTATTTATACCCCACCTTTCTGCCAGTAAAGGAAGCCAGGGCAGCTTACACAATATTTGAAAGACAAGTACAATTCATAATAAAGTAAATTACAATATTGAAATGCAACTAAAGGTATCAAATATTACATGTTAAATCAACAACAGAATGAACATTTTAAAACAATTTAAAAGTATATATTTTAAAATAGTAAAAAAGTACAACATCCTCCACTAAGACAGCCAATCATTTGCAAAGTCTGAGCGGAAATATCTTTGGCTACCAACAGGAGGACAGAACAGAAGACAGCTCAGCTTCCCTGGGGGGGGCAGTCTGGTTGTATCACCTCTCCTAGTTCTGATAGTTCTGACACCCGAGAAAAGAATGTGGTTAGGAGTATTACTTGATTGTCTGCACTGTTGTGTAATCTGGGAACATGTTACATGGATATGACATTACACTGCTACGCTGATAGCACTTGCTAGTGAAAGCAGATATTTGGATTGCTTTTTCTGTTGTAATACTTTATTGAAAGCAACTTTTCTCCTTCTAGCTTCTCAGGCTCAGGCTGTGCGTAGCCTCTTGGAGAAACCCTCTGGGGCAGCAATCCTCTGCAACAATTGCAGTAATCCATGTAAAGGAGAGGTGCTACGAGTGCAAAAGAAGTATTTCCACATTAAGTGTTTTGTTTGCAAAGGTAGGTATTGATATTTACCCTTCTCCCTTCAACAACACTGGGGTTAGGGGTGTTGGACCCCTGTGTAGTTCAAAATCCATGTTTAACTCCTACATCTCCAAAAAGTACCTACAAAGCATAAACAGCTGATTCATACATGCATAAACACATGCAGAGAGAGAGAGAGAGCAAGAGAGAGAGACAGTTCTCTCTATAAGAGTTCTCTTCTATAGTATTGGAAGAATCACACCTTTGCACCCTTCCTTCCTTCCTTTTGCTTGGTTTTTCTGAACTTCGTCAGACCTCCAGACAAATCTTAGTAGCAATGGTAGCAGGGGGGTATGGTAAAGAAGGAGCAGCCAAAACTCTGCTCATGACCCAGGGTTCAATCCCAGATAGCCAGCTTGAGGTTGACTCAGCCTTCCATACTTTCAAGTTAGATAAACTGAGTACTCGGGTTGCTGGGGGCAGCATTGTGTAGCCCACAATTGTAAACCACCCAGAAAGTGCTTAAGCACTATAGGCTGGTATATAGGAGCATGCTTTTTATAGAAACCTGATAGCAGATGTTAAGCATGTGTTGAATCTGACATTTTATTCAGTATTTACATAATGTTTATTCATTGATTCAGAGGAAAGGGAATCATTATTGTAAAGATGATTGAGAGGAAATCTCAGTACAGATATTTCTCAATACAGGATGTGATCAGCATTGAGGCGTAGTATTTCCTCAGAGTTAGTGTGTGAAAGTTGTGTGGTCTACTTGAGTTAAGAGTGTAATGGAGATGCCAAAAATACAAAACCATAGTCCTCTGTAGAAGGAAAAATAATGTTGACATGTTCTTTTCACAGAAACGGAGCAATGATCTTGTGTGTGAGTTCACAGGTTTTGTATTACACTACTTACATAAGACCACATAAATGTACAGTTGTTTGTCAGGTTATCTGATAGTTTATTATCAGAAACAAATCAAAAAAATGTAAGCTTGAAAATAACTATAGTGGTCACAAGAGAGAAAGACCTAAGCCACCTCTGAGCTACAAATATTGTTATGAATTGGTATGTACCAGATCAACTCCAACTTGTCAGTCTATAAATAAGTTTGCTAAAAACTACTGTGTGTAATTTGAGAGAGGCTGCATAAGAACATTCTGTGGAGTGAGAATGTTTCGGATTACACAAGAAGATGGCCTGTACAGGGAAAATAGCCAGTGGATGATGAAAGCATAGAGCAAAACAAAATGTTGAATATTTTTACAGCCTGCTATGAAAATCAATCGAGCATCTTGTGGCTCCAAATTTATTATGGAATAATCTTTCATGAACAGCAGCACACTCACTCCATAAATGTATGAGGTGTTATGCTGAGGTACAGATATATGTTCACATATCATTGATATGGCAGGTATACATGATAACAGTGATGTTGGAGGAAAATGGAATACAAAACGTATGAACTGTGATAACAGTCAATATTTGCAAAACTATTGTTGGATAATAATAAGGTGATATTTGCACTGATGAAAGCAATGTAATATTTGTTAAAATGCTTTGTCCTTCTTTTTTGTCCTACTTCATCTGTAGAGCATCTTACACATGACATTTTATTAATATTAGGAATGATAGCCTGAAATTTTATTAATATAAGGAATTATAGTCAGAAAACAAGTTACCAAATCTCAGTCTGTCAGCACTTAAAGCATCAGAAGTAAAACTCCTTCTCTTAAACATTCTGGCTTATTTTTTCCCACAGCTTGTGGATGTGACTTGGCCCAAGGAGGATTTTTTGTGAGAGAAGGGGATTATATCTGTACTTCGGACTATCAACGACTCTATGGCACACGGTGCTTCAGCTGTGATCAGTTTATTGAAGGAGAAGTGGTTTCAGCTCTGGGGAAAACCTACCACCCTAAATGTTTCGTGTGTGCAATTTGCAAGTAAGTTCTTTTAGTGAAACTTTGGATTGGATCTCCATCTTTGAAATGAGATGGACTAAGTGGCCCACTCAAGTTCAAAATGTTTCCGTTCACCTGATTTGCCATCTTGACATTTGCTGGATTTTTTGCTTTGGAAACTGTTTGGGAATTTATGATGACCCTGACATGCTCCAGTGACTCTAACCATCTCTGAAGCTTTCCTGTCATCAGAGCAGGCTGTCTGTGTGCAGGGGCCTTCTGTACTAGCGTGTCAGGGGGAACGATGTCATTCCATGACAGTCCAGAGGATTCTGAACATGCCCATCATATGCTTATCTAGGAATATGTAGAATAGCTGCATAAGAAATGAAGATCAAGAGCTCATATGAACAGTGAAGTTTCCTATACACACTGTCTACAGCCTGATCTTCCCAGGGATTCTTCTGGTCCCATAGTATAGAAAAGTGAAGTTGGAAGGGGCCTACACCATCAAGTCCAACCCGCTGCTCAGTGCAAGAATACAATGCCAGGTGATTATCTAAGTTTTTTCTTGAATGCCTCCAGTGTTGGAGCATCCACCAACTCCTGAGGTAACTGGTTCTACGGTCGTATTGATCTAACAGGAAGTTAGACATGAAATTAGCAAAGTCATTATGGTGATGATGACCTTTAGGAAGTAACTAAGACCACCTGTCAACAGTACACAGAAATGAACGACAGTACACAGTTGTTCAGTGGATGTCAATAGATGTGGACTGGGTGAAATAATTGCTGAGAATCAGATTTATACAGTTTAAACAGTTTCTTTCTGGTACATCACTTCCATTTTTAAAGTTTGTGCTCTGAATTTTCAGAGGGTGAGAGAGGAGAAATTATTATGTTTTTTCTCTGTTGCAGAGTGTATAGGTACATCAACTGTTAATTCCACAAGAAAGCAGGAGAAGCCATTAAAAACACACAACTACCCTTTCCTAAGAAATTTACATTCAGGATAGAAAAATCTATAAACCTGATCCTACGTAGATAGATATGTGCCCTAGAAAGCACGTAGGGGAACAGCAATGACAAAAAAGCTCCCCTTTCTTCCTGCCCTTCTTCTGCAGACAGCATAAAAACAGGCAGCTTTCTATCATGCCCTTCACCATTAAGCCAAGTATAGATTCATTTTCCCATCTGTCTGTGGAGATGCAGGAACAAATAGAGTGATCTTTGGGGCTTTGGGCAATTGTTGCCTATAAGCCTACTTCAATGAAAATGAAACATCTTGGAGATTAAGTTGCAACCACTAAGATCATCCCTATGGTCTCCATTTTTCCACATTCTTGAGAACAGTTATCTTATCAGCAATTTCCTTTGTAAGTTACATCGCTTTCATTGTCACAGTATAAAGGAAACAAAGTAAACTTTATAACATTTTTTAAAAATCCTTTTATTACAGTTATCAAAAGTAAGGCTGTGCAGGGGTCCCTGATTTTGTTTGAAGCCCAGATTGGGTATAATCTATTTGAACTGATCTGGACCTGATCCAATCTAATTTATATCTGAATCTCATTTGAAGTTCAGAAATTTTAATTTCCGCCCCTCACATTGATATGTATTGGGAAAATAAAATGTCTGTAGCTGTTTATTTATTTATTTTTCTTTGGAATGCTTTAAATCTGGAGATGTATTAACCCACTAAGAAAGTCACAATAGCTTGAATGAAGGAGGAAGAACAAATGGAGACCTATAATTGTGTAAAGGGGGAGAAAAGAATTCATCAGAGGGAATGTTTGTGTCTTGGGTAAACTGCTAGGAGGCAGAGCAGTGGCAATGGCTTTGATGCATGGGGGGCGGAAAAGAGAAGTGTGAAAGTGTATTGCATTTGTTGGCCAGGTGCATACGCTGGCTGTGATGCAGGCAACACAGTCCTATGTATTTTTATATTAGTTTAGACTGATACAGGCTGGTTTGTCTGCTGAAGACGGCAACCTTGGGATATTCCCAGATTAATATTTTATTGTGCAGTCTACCTGTTGTGTTCATAGATTCATACATAGGTTATGCACACTGTCATCAGAGTCTTGCAAAGTCTGCTCTTTTCTCCTGCTGTGTTCTGCCTTTAATCAGAGCATAGGAAATCTCTAAAATCTCCCTCAGTGGCCAGAATCCTATTGGTATTTATGTATTATTTATTTATTTAAAGTATTTTTCACCTGCCTTTCTCCTTGTGGTGAAAGGCAGGACAATATTTAAAGCTAAGAACAATTATAAAGAGGCAGCTTACATAATTAAAAGACAATATTATAGCTAGAAACCATACGCAAATAAATATTAAAAAGGTACGAACAAATATCTCTTTGAAAATGGAAAATGGAGAAGACAAGAAATGGAAAACACAAGTACTGTAGTACTAAAAACCCAGTCAAAGCAGTGATGCATAACAATCAACGACCGAGGATGAGATGATTGGACAGTGTCATCGAAGCAACCAACATGAATTTGACACAACTCCGGGAGGCGGTGGAAGATAGGAGGGCCTGGCGTGCTCTGGTCCATGGGGTCACAAAGAGTCGGACACGACTAAACGACTGAACAAACAAACAAATAGCTAGAAACCATATGCAAATAAATATTAAAAAGGAACAAACAAATATCTCTTTGAAAATGGAAAATGGAGAAGACAAGAAATGGAAAACACAAGTAGTGTAGTACTAAAAACCCAGTCAAAGCAGTGATGCATAACAATCAATCTAAAAATCTCTCAGGCAGCCAGTCACTGGGGGAAGGCTTGCCTGAAGAGAAAGGTCTTTGCCTGCTTGTGGAAGGATAGCTTACCATACAAAATTGAAGCCAATTAGCTGGTACTGGAACATGTCTCAATCATGCACCTGGTCATGCACTCAATTATGTAGTCAAGATACTCTGTGGAACCCCATTAATTAGACAGTATTGGCTATGATAAGTTATGGAGATCTTCCACAAATGCCAATATGATTCTGGCCAGCTTCTTGTAACATGAAGAAGAAGGTTTTCATATCAAACTGTCCTCTCTAAACGCATATTGTATATTTTGAAATGAAGATTTTGAACATTACTGCATTCTAATTGTGATGCCTCAAACCCTTTCTTAGGATTTTAAGTACCTTTCTTCAGTCTTTCTGCTTCACTGATGAGCTTTTGAGCACCTGGTGAGATTTGCTGAAAGTACGCTTAAACAAAAGAATTGAACTAGTCCCCTTAGTAAAAAAGAAAATAAATTCTATGCTAATAATGCGAGGATTTCTATTTCCTAACACATTTATCTTCCTTCAGGCAACCTTTTCCTCCTGGTGATCGTGTTACTTTCAATGGCAAAGATTGTGTCTGTCAGAAATGTTCTCTGCCACCTGCTGGCAGCAACAGCAGCTTCCCTATCCACAAAAGTAAGTTACGGATTCATCTATTTTATTATGATTGGGCTTTCCCCTCCAGTTAAAATAAATAAATAAAAAATCTCCTTAAAATTCTCTGAAATCTTGAGTTGATGTCATTCAGTGAATGTGTATTTGAATCATTATTGACTGTTAAATATTTGATGCTTACTTGATGACCAGAGGAGAGATTTCAGTAGGCGATGTATCAGATACTGGATGTTGGATAGCTGAAATATAATGGCATTTAACATTTGTAAATACTTGGCAGAAGTCATGCAGTTTTCTGATTATTTTAATGGCGCCTGACAGTGATTCATATATGTGAAATTCATATACGACATAAAACAATCAAGATTCCATAGTTGTCTCATATTTAAAATTCTATTTATAGTTCAAACTTCCATCAGATTTAAATATTTGTAAGTATTGCCTGTACTGCTTTTACTGGGGGACAGATCATGGCCTGATCTCTAGTGCAGGAGATCTTTGTCTTCTACGACTGAACAAGTGTTATGTGCAAAATTGTATTAGATGATGCTTCTTCTCCTTCTTTCCAAAAAGTTTAGTTGGCAAGCATGGTATTACAATTCTTTTTTATCTGCACAAGAGTCTTACGAGGGACAATGACTGGTTCCCCAGTAAGATTCTTTGCTGAGACACAGCACTGCAGCCAAGAGATTCCATGTTTGTCTATATTTTTTATTTCAAAGATATGATGCTCATTATATGGAGTTTTACAAGACTGCAGTTGACGTATAGGAGTCTGTCTTTAAAGTATCAGTTGTAGTAAATTGATACGTTATGCATTTGAATATTTAATGTGCATAAGATCCAGCTGTTGCACTCATTTGCCATAAGTAGCAAAGAATGTGTACCTAATAGTTGTTGTGGGTTTTTCGGGCTCTTTGGCCATGTTCTGAAGGTTGTTCTTCATAATGTTTCGCCAGTCTCTGTGGCCGGCATCTTCAGAGGACAGCACTCTATGCTCTGGTGCAGTTTGTTTGGGAGCTGAGTATTTATGGCTGTGAGATCAGCTTTTGTCCTATTCAATGTGTACCTAATCAATCAATGTGTACCTAATCTTTCCACAATTGTGTGCTTTTCAGTCAATATACATTTTCTCCAGCATATTTTGAGAACATGATCAAAATCCCAACAGTTTTTGTACATTGATCAGACGTTACGTATAACCTCTAACAGACTTTGGGATACAGTTTTCTCCATTGTCCATTGATATGCATAATTTCATATAGTCCTTGGAAGACGTGGGTACCTTGACTGCCTGTATTAGGCAGTATATAATTCTCTTTTCACTGTGCATTGTCTCCAAGAAATACCTATGTGACCCACTAAATATTTTGGTTTTGATAATTTTCTGAATCTCTTTCCATATTTTGATGTTTTTCTGAATTTACACCAAGACTCCTTGCCGAAACATTCTCTTGCATCCACCTTTCCCAGCTTGGCTAATCAAAGCAGCCAGGCCTATAACAACTGAATAGGCCACTGCAATAATTAATGGGTCTCTCCAGGAGACCTTGCCCTCGAGGATACACTCATTAGGCCCATTAGGAAGAAACCAAGTTTGGCGGCGGACAACATTGGCAATTATAGACCTGTCGTCCATGTTTCTTTCCTCAGCAAAGTGGTAGAGAGGGTGGTGCCTGACTAGCTCCAGGCCCTTTTGGATGAAACCAATGACTTGGATCTATTTCAGTCAGGCTTCAGGCCACGCCACAATATGGAAATGGCATTGGTCACCCTGTTTGATGACCTGCTGAGAGAGGCTGACAGGGACAAAATGTCTCTGTTGGTCCTTCTCAATATCTCAGCCATCATCGATACTGTCAACGATCGATACTCCCCTCCTGGGGAGGCTCTCTGAGCTTTGGTGGTCTGGTCATCGATACTGTCAACCATCGATACTCCCCTCCTGGGGAGGCTCTCTGAGCTTTGGTGGTCTGGTACCTGTCTGGTTTTGATCCATCTTGGAGGACTGTCCTCAGAGAGTACAGCTTGGGCAGAGTGTATCGGCTCTGTGGAGTCTCAATTGTGGGGTTCCGTAGGGCTTGATTATCTCCCCAGTGCTGTTTAATATCTACATGAGGCCAATGGGTCAGGTCAACAGGGGGTGAGGGGCTTCATGTCATCAGTAGGCTGATGACACTCAGCTCTACATCTCCTTTCCCCCAACAACAATGGATGCCATTTCGTCCCTTCAGCGCTGTCTGGAGGCCATATTGCAATGGATGCAATTATGGTTTTCAATAGAAGACCTCAGGCTCATAAATGGTCAATTGTGTTTTTATTAGCACAGTTACCTGTTCTAATAAAAATACTCCCTCACTGAGTGTTTTTATTAGAACAGGTAACTCATTATGTTTTTATTAGCACAGTTGCCTGTTCTAATAAAAACACTCCCTCACTGGGTGTTTTTATTAGAACAGGTAACTCATTATAAATATTTGGGCATGATGTTCCACCACTCTGGTTCCTGGGTTGCCCAGATTGACTTTGCAAAGCAGAAATTTGAAAAATGATGTTTGGTATACTTAGATTCTATAGAACAAAAGGAGGGCATTTGGTCCCACCCATCCGTGAAATTTATAAAATCAAGCTACTTCCGCAGATCCTGTATGGTGCTGAAATATGGGGAACTGGAAACCTAACCTCCTTAGAAGTAATCCAAAATAAATTTGCTCAATTACTTCTGGCAGCCCCCCCTTCAACCCCTTCAGCATTTCTTAGACTAGAACTGGTACAAGTTAATAATTAATTACTGGTTGAAAATTCTGTTCATCACTCAGTCAGAATTTTTAATACCATCATAGAAGATGAATTTTGGACCGTGGAAACTTTTTGCATTGCAGCTAGTTGCTAAACTTGGATTCTTTGAAGAGTATGTGAGACACCTTGACCTACCCACTGCAAAACATTTACTGAAACAGAGATTGTCCAGCCACTGGGTTCAAATGGAGTTAGGTCTGTTAGGCACCCTAAAAATGGCCCCTTTATATAAGAACATTCTATCCTTGCCTTTGAATCTTCCATCTTATTTTTCTGATAGAATGAGTTCTGATTATAGAAAAGCTTTTACTTGGGCACGTTTTGATATGTCACCACTAGCCAGTTTGTTATACGCTATACACAAATTCTATATCACAAGAGTTTGCTTTGTGATAAAAAATCAGTGGAGAATTTGGCACATGTAGTGCTCTATTGTCCACTATTAGACACCTATCGCGAAAGACTCCTTAACCCTATTTTACAAAAACACTCTAGGAATTCTGAACAAGAAAAACTCAAGGTTCTACTTTTGGACAGATACAAATCTGTCACTTTCCAAATGGCACACTTTATCTCTACATTGATAAAAATGAAATCTGTATTCCCCACCTCTACCAATTAAGTCAATACTTAAGTAACTACATCTTTGGGGTTATTCCCCCGCAATAGGTGCTTGCTGCTGCCATTGGTTAATATTTTCCATCTGTCTTTCTCTTCTCCTTAGATGTCACAATTTTGTGCTGTAATAGAAATCAACCTGATTCTAAATGGCTTTTAATATTTTATTATATTATATTTTAATGGAGTATATTATATTGTTTATACCATTTTATATTGTTTTATCCGGTGTATGTTGCAATGGCCTGTGTGCCATGCAATAAACTTATTTTGCTTGCTTGCTTGCTTGCAATGGATGCAAGTGAATGGACTGAGGCTGAACCTGGAGAAGATAGAGGTCCTGGGGGCGGGTGGCCCCGCCATCGGTGGTTTGGGAAACTCCCTCTCTTTTGGGGGAGGTGACTCTCACTGCAAAGAGTGAGGTTTGCAGCTTTGGGGTCCATCTGGATCCGGTGCTCACCATGGAAACCCAGGTAGCATCAGTGGTCCGCACTGCCTACTTCCATCTATGGCTGATTGCCCAGCTGCGTTTCTATCTTGATGTTGGGTGCTCACTACTCTGGTCCATGCGCTTGTAGTCTTGAATCTGGACTACTGTAATGCATTCTATGTGAGGCTACCTTTGAGATTGATGCGGAAGCTTCAAATGATGCAGAATGCAGCGGCCAGACTTCTCACTGGGGTGAGAAAACATCAACATATCTCCCCCACTCTGGCTGCCTTGCATTGGCTGCCCATTCATTTCCGCATTGATTTCAAAGTATTAATGATGACATATAAAGCTCTAAATGGTTTAGGACCTTAATACGTATCTAGCAGAACATCTCCTTCCTAGATCTACCCGAATCACTCGCTTTAGCCAGGAGGGGCGGCTTAGGGACCTAATGTAACTGGTGCTGTTCCTCGTGCAATGGGGAGAAGGTGTCAGGTTGTTTTGTTGTTGTTCAGCCTGTTCCCTACTAATCATTTGAGCACCAGAGGTCATGGGAGGAAGGGTTTACCTCTTCCCTCCTCCCTCCAGATGAAAATTACCCACGATACAACAGGAAAAATAAACAAATTGGCTGTCATCTTCCCCTTCCTTCTGCTTGGTACTCTGTACACTTAGTGGAGAGTCATAACTCATGCCCTACATGTAGGAAGCCCCATCTTCATGGAGTTTCTGTGCTGTATGTTCTGGTACATCTGTGAGGAATGTTCTGTCTGGAACCTCTGAAAGCAACACCTAGTCAGTGTTTCACTGCTAATGGGACCCTAATCATGCTTGGTATAATGCAGCTTCCTGTATTCTTGTGATCACATGCGCTTCTTATGTGAGCACCAAGGAAGGTGAGCCATGGTGCAGCAAAAATCAGCCTGTATCTGCAAGGTTATCCCTGTCCTGCTCTCCTCTGTGTGAATGGAAAAAGGGAGGGTGTGGATATATGTAGATCTTCATATCAAAATACACCACACAGCTCATCTATCCATTCACAAACTGTGTGAGAGATTGGATGGATAGGTGTATGTTGTGTGTGTTGAGTGCAGGAAGGAGAAATAGAATAAAAAACAAAGAAAAGTGTGTTGCTTATATATCGCCCCATAGTGCATAAAGCATTGTCTGGGTAGTTTAACAGTTTAATTAAGCGAGGTGCACATTGCACTGAGTTGGGTACTCAGTTTATGGACCTTGGAAGGATGGATGCCTGAGTCAACTTTGAGCCTGGTGCCTGAACCCATTGGGATCGAACTCAGGTCAAGGTACCTGAACCCACTGGGATCAAACTCAGGTCATGAGCAGAGAGAGTCCTGACTACAGTATTGGAGTGTAACCGCTGTGCCACAAGAGTCGGTTTTTCTCCTCAGCTCCACTCATACATTGTGTGAGAATGGATGAAGTGGTATGTAAGAGTTGGTTTTTCTCCTCCATTGTGTGAGAATGGATGAAGTGGTATGTTAGAGGAGTACATTTTAATATGGCCGTGGGTTGAGTGGGGACAAAAGGTAGAGTCAGACAGGCAAATAGCTTGCATTTTGACCACTTGTGGCATGGTCTGGTGCATGCTGTTTCCTGGCAATCACATAATGTTCATGAGCTGATGAATTAGCCTGATCTGTGCCCAGGCTGGACCTTCTTGGTCCAGCAGCAGGACCACTCTTTTTAGGAGCCAAGCTGGAGTGATTCCTCCATCAACAGACGGCAGTTTTAAAGGGAGATTACTCTCAGCAAAATGAACCTTTCCAGTGTGATTGGATACCATCCTTTATTATTGTCTGATTGCACTTTTGGTCACATTCAGAATAAACTCATTAACTACGAGAGTTAAGTTGTTCTTAATAATGTCCATCCCACTGATTTCAGTTGATCTGCTGAAAGTATAACTGACGAAGGACAAAGCATGTATCTTGTTTTGGTTTGCTTCCCTCTGCCCCACTTCTTGTTTTTTGTTGCTTACCATTTTCACATCCAAATTTTGAGGTGGATGTTTGTCTCTCTCTACTCTCTGAAATCCTATAGCAAGTTTTTTTTTTAAATCATATTGCATAGTGAGAAAAGAGAGCTCATTAAGATCCAGTCTTCAATTTTACCATACCAGAGAGAGAGAGAGAGAGAGAGACATTGTGGCATCTGAAAGACTGACTGCCATATTCATTGATTGAATTCACTTCATGTTCACTCAGACATAAGAGTAAGACTGCATGACTGCCATGTTTATACATGGCCACGTGGCCAGGCAGGAATACAGATAACGGACAAAGTGACAGTGATTTGTTAGTAATAGAATAGGCTATCAAGCTGTGATGGACAAAGTGATTTTTTATTAGAACAGGTGATTTGTTAGCAATAGAATAGGCTATCAAGCTGTGAATAGCTTCAAATATCAGGGATTGTCACTCTCGAATTGGCCTTCTCAGCCACACTAGACGCTGTTCCAAGTCCTCCATACAGAGCATGTTACCATCGTCTCTCGAGAGTGAAGGATGCAGTATACAAGATAACAATAGCATAGCTGACCCAAGTAGCAGACTGGGGGAATCCATGTAGGATTTTTCACTTGGTTATAACTTAAGAACCCTTGATTGATATTATGTTATTTTTGTTTGCCTTAATTAAAGGCAATAGTCTAATTGAAACCCTTGTGTTCTGCTGATAAAATGCATTAAACTAAAAGGAATTAAAATTTGTGGATGTGGCATTTACTCCTAATTTTCCTAGTTAAGAGTCTACAGCAAGATTGAAAATTGCACATTTGTTCTTCTTATATTCCCAGACCTAGTCATGGCTGTATGCTCAGAACACATGAACAAAGTTTGGAGATTGAACTGTATTTACTTTTTTGTAGTCTCATAAATGATGCGTAAAGTACATGCCTTAAAAAGTCCTTTCCCAATTTCTTTTTTTAACAGATTGTGGGAACTGTGGTTCTGAAATAAAAAATGGTCAGTCTTTGGTAGCGTTGGACAAACACTGGCATTTGACCTGTTTCAAGTGCAAGATATGTGGCAAACTTCTGAATGCTGAATATATCAGCAAGTAAGTTGGAAAGGCAATTAAGTGGCTCTCATGGCACTTTTCCGCACTGTGTTATCAAACTATGTTCTGTTTGCATGTTGTGATGTGAGATGTGGAGATCAAATGAAACAATTAAATCTGAGAAATGTCAGCTGCTAGAGGTTCTATTTTTAGATTTTTAAAATGTTGTTTAATGAAAAGTGCTGGTAACTCTAATTCAAGCATAAGGAGAAAGATCACATCGTATTATCTGCCCTGGTATCCTGTACTTTCCACAACATGTCCTTCCTCTCAGGCCTTCCTGCATCTTGGGAATATCCCATTCCCAAGATTTGTGTAAACAGTGGTGTTACCTTCCTCCATAGGCTGAGTTCCTTATCATTTGCTTGAATAGAGAGGAGATTCCAAGATCACAGTGCTAGGATAGTTTCACACCCGCTCACAGCTGGTGGTGGCTAATGCCAGGTCAGTTATTAATAAAAGAGCTTTATTTCAGGGCATAGTCCTGGATGAAGAAGCTGACCTAATTTGTATCACCGAGGCTCATTGGATTACTGCATCAAAACCTGCCTTAGTACAACTTTTCCTAGCGGGTTAATTGCCTCAGTGTCAACATAAGGAACACAGAACTGGGAGGGATCTTAGAGGTCATGTAGCTGAACTCACCACTGCTCAATGTATCAATTGCAGTGTAGAATGCAACTCTAGCATCCCTGTCAGGTGACTGTTGTTCCTCTGCCTAGGTGTCATCAGTGAAGAAGCAGAACTCACTCCACCTCAAGGCAATTTGTTCCACTGCAGAACAGCTCTAGTTTTGATGTTTCTCCTGCTATTTAGTAACAGCTTTATTCTTTCCAGTTTCCAGTCTCCACCTGAGAATACCAGAGGACATAACTGTTCTATACCAGGAGCTCTTCAGATATTTGTAGATAGCTATCCTAGATTATGGCTGCTATGAAAAAAGCAAATTCCACATTGGGAGTCATTGGAAAAGGAGCTGATAATAAAATTGCAATGGTCATACTACCTTTAAAAAAATATCTGGTGCATGGTATGCTGTGTACTGTTATGGCTACTACTGTACATCTCAAAAATAATAAGTGTAAAGCTAAAAGAGATGCAGAAAACTCCCAATCAAAATCATTCTGGAGCTGGAACATCTCCCTTCTAAAGCAGTAGTTCCAGTTTAGAAAGAGGGCAGGAAGTGGGAGAACACGATGGAGATGTGAATAGGCTTTGTTTTCTCTCTCATAGTACTAGAACCCAGAATAATCCAGTGAAGTTGACTGGTGGGAAATCCAGGGCATGTAAAATGAAGTAATTCTTTACACAGTTATTAGTCAGATTATGGGATAGACCATCACGTCATGTCATGATGGCTGCTACCTTAAACGCTTTAAAAGGGGATTGGATAAATCCATGGGTCCTGTTGCCTTCATACCTTGCTTCATAGGCATCTGGTTAGCTACTGTCAAAAGAATTGTGAATTTTATGGGCCTTTGGTCTGAAGTAGCAGGGTTCTTCTTGTTTTCTTGTGTTGTGTATATAACAAAACTGTCATGTCATATAAATATATTTTGGGGTTACTTTGTCTCGTAGTCTCTGGTGATAGTGATTAATAAAATAATGTGGAATATTTGATTTCCTCTCTATATGATCTTTTGTGGGGAACTAAAAGAGTTGGACACGACTAAACGACTAAACAACAGCAACAACAAAAAGAAAGTCAACACAGAAGTATTGTATAATGATTTTGTGTGGTCTATAAAGGTATCACCAATTTCTGCATTCGGATTTTATTTTGCTATGACTGCACAGCTAACCCTTCGAGTTCTCCAACAGTTTACATTTTTCCAACTGTTTAGTTTGTTTTGAGAGCTGCGCTTGAATCAATGGTAGTGCTTTTTTTTATTTTCAGAGATGGTGTTCCATACTGTGAAATGGACTATCATGCTAAATTTGGAATCCAATGTGATAATTGTGAAAAGTATATCACAGGAAGAGTACTGGAGGTAAAACAATTGTGTGCTACCAATGGATGTGTATTCCCCCTCACTTTCCCCATCAATACTGTCTTTTCTGTTCAGTTATGTATTTTCATACTTTGCATAGTAGGACTTCAGACTGACCACCCACTTCTCTGCCTTTCTCTATGGTGAGGGGACATCTTTTTGAAAAATGCATGTATCATGTTTGTAGAGCTTTTGGTATATAGCTTTTCTTTCTCAGGTTGCCTAACCCAAGGAAAGGGTTTGGAAATTGGATGATAGCTTTCTATTCTTAAATTTTAATTTATAATCCCCTAAATGGCTCAGATACAAGCTATCTAAAAGACTATCTCTCCCCTTATTTAGATTATCAGGAGAGGCCTTTCTCTTTGTTTCATCACCATCACAGGTGCATTTGGTGGGGACACAGGAGAAGGCCTTCTCTGCTGTTGCTCCCCGACTCTGGCATTCCTTCCCACGCTGTTCTTCCACAAGCAGACAAAGACCTTTCCTTTTAGCATGCTTTCCTTTAAATGATTGGTTAACAAGGGGATTTTGAGATGAGATTTTTGTATTTTGTTATTTTGTAAAATACTTATGCTTTTAATATTGCTTTTATTTATAAGTTTTAAAATATATGTTTAATTCTTTTTCAATATTGTAATAATTTATTGGTTTAATTTTTAACTTTGTTTCTTTTAATACTGTAAGCCTCATTGGATCCTTTAGGAGAAAAATGGCATAAACAGACAAAGAAAGAAATAAAAACTGCAGAGTGGGCATTGCAACATTATAGTTAGTAGACCAGATAGGCGGGGTATGTATAAATAAATAAATAAATAAATAAATAAATAAATA